GGAGATTGTGTTACTATTTATTTCGTACAAGAGCAGGGTGTGTCGATCTAGGGTTAAGTTTTGTTTGGGAGAGTTTTGTTTGCACGTTATCTGTGCAACATTTTGATGTATTATACTAGAACGGATACCAAAACAAAACTGTGATGACTAAGTTTAGTTTTAATAAGAGTTTTACGCAGCACTTGCAACACAATAAGGTCATTATAAGTGCCGAAGATCAGAAGTGTTACAAGAGAGTAACAAACACAAAAAGAAGGAGGGATCAGGTAAAGACAATAGATGTTTGGTAGGAAAGAAGGAGCAAACCACACCAGAGCACCCGCCAACCACCCACGGATGACTAAACGGTTGGGTAGGAGGGTGTGAGATTTATGGTCTCTTGGACTTTCTTGTTTGTCCTCCGGTGACCTTTGACCTTGACCTGTGTGGTGAGGGGCGTGGTTTTCTCGTCCTTTGATGACACCGCTGTCGTTGTAGTTTATGCCACAGGCAGGGCGCGCCGCGAGCTTACCTGTTCGTTGTCATGGAGATGTATGTCTGTAATGTGGGAGATCCTTACTGCGTTATCTTTTGGAAGGTTTAGTAGAGCTGTGCACATTCGATTTCATTATTCGACATTCATGATTTTCGCGCTATTCACAGCTATTTGAAGCGTGGCAGAGCCATTCAAATGCTGGGTGACTTTTTTCCACAATGGATTTTTTCTCATTTTTGTTAACCCGTAGTAAAATTAAAGCATAATAAAATATCTCAACGCTTAGTTAAGCTTAGTAAGAGTAAGAGTTTTACTGAGCTCGCTGCGGCATGACGTCATATGAGAGCCTTTTTGGGTTGTGTAGGTATCGTGTCTTATAACGGCCTGCTCTGATCCAGTTGTTCGCTTAACCCTATCCGCAAGTCGTGTTTTACTACTATCGTATCCATATGACGTGGGGGAACTCTGTGCCACCACTTAACCCTATCCGTACGTCGTGTTTTACTACTATCGTATCCATACGACGTGGGGGAACTCTGTGCCACCACTTAACCCTATCCGTACGTCGTGTTTTACTACTATCGTATCCATACGACGTGGGGGAACTCTGTGCCACCACTTAACCCTATCCGTACGTCGT